TAGACTATACATATAAACGTGTATAATTTATTTTAGGTCCAATATAAATAGACTGAGAAAGAGAAACTGCGTTCTATAAAAAGAGATAACCACGATTTCTAATTGTTTTTTGAAGAAAATATTTAATAATAAATGCTTTTTATCCCGTCTACAAGCTCGTATAGGCACACCTATCCTCAAACAATTCGTTTTAATTCTAAAATAATGCGAAAGAAGTGGGTATTTAAATATAAAATATCGTATTTCATATCCGATATAGTAGCGTAGTGGTGATATATAATAGGTAGGTCGTAGGTATTAACCATAAGGAAATATAGACTATATAGACAGGACGAGGTATATGTACAGGCACAAGTATTTAAATCCGACGAATAATATGCTCGAAATATGTTTGTAAAGATTTTCCTTGTACTATTCACATGGACACCATAAAATGTAGTTATTGGACACCGAACTAATGTCTTTAGAACGCTGCATGGTTTCAAAGTGTTTTGAATAAGTCTCTATGTTTGAGACATTTTGTAGATAAATGTTTTAAACGTTCAAAAATGAAATTAAAATTACTAATATCCGTAGCGTAAACGTATAGTTTCTATTTGTTCTTAAAGTATAAAAGAAAACAAACTGCAGTTCCTATTAATTTTGGATAAAAAAATACAATTTCTCCGATTGTTATTCTGTTCTTAAACACATAATTACGGTTCATTCAATTCTATTTATAATGAACTATTATTATAATATGATATTTACAAAAAAATAATGTTTTTTTGTAACCGTGATTATATAAAGTATTATATCAGTCGGTCATCAATTAATAAAATATAATCGTTTAAACTTAAAGTGTAGTAATGTATAGTTGGCCGTGTGTAAACTATACAATTTATACTCAAAATACCAATTTGCGCATTTAATTAAATTACTTTAATTTTTCCGTACCTACATCACTAAAAACTGAACACTACTATAATAATTATAATATGCTGTATATGTATAATGCTACAACTACACACTTCTAGTTACTTTCACGCCATTGCTGGTGATGAAAAACGATTACGGATGACCGCTCGGCTTGGGGCAGCGGCAAGTGTAAATGTATAGGTATTTTAATTTTAATTTATAGACCTGCAGTGGTTTCTTAATTATTTTACTCTACGTTTCCTATGTAGATTTAAAAAAAAATCTCGCGCCCCCCTCTTTTAACAGCAAAAAGAACTTATTTATCCAAATTTAATAAAAACAAAAAAAAAAAGGGGCCGATATTCAACTACCCGATAACCGGTCGTTATTGATAAAACATTGTAACACATAAGTACATTGTTGAATAAAAATAAATTAATACACGCTAATATTTTGATAATTTTTGATGACTGCTTGTACCTCCCAGCAATGTATTTACGCCTCCACCGCCCAGGTTGGGAAATCGCAGCCCAATCGTGATGAACGACGACCCTGTCGTCAGGGATTTCGGATTTGAAACGAAACGACGTCGCCGTCGTGAGATTTTTCGAAACGTTTTATTTATTGAGTTATTTTATTATTATCGGAAGTGGCGCCAAAGTCCTAAAAAAATGCATTCGGGCGAAATACGTTTCAATAAAAGGCACCAATAACTAAACATAGTCTATTTTATGCCCAAATTTGTGGTTCGGCAAACTTTGCTCCGAAATGAAGCGGCTCTGTGTTTAATTATTTAATTTAAAATAAAAAGCCAGGCCAAGGTAAAACCTTAACATAGACCTTAACACGGAGTTCGGCGCCGCCGGATTTATCGTTACGAAACACGAGGGACGGGTTAACAACGCGACGACGGAAAATCAAATAGTTCGGCGGCGCGATACACGTGACGCGCGCAATACCCATTGGCGCAGATGATAACCGAACGCGGTATATAAAACAATACATAACCTATATAACGTGTAAGGCACATTACCGCAGAGCGTTACAGTAAGTGAGAGGGAGGGGGGGAGGAAGTCGTTACCGCGTTCGGTGTGTGCGCGTCGAGAGGGGGCCGCCGCGGCCGACACGCCCTTCCGCGGCGCTTTTCGTCGACGCCGCGTATGCCCATTTTGTCCGGGAGCGCGCTCTCTATCAATTATTATTATTATTATTATTATTATTACTGTCGGGGAGGGAGAAGGGGGATCGCGTACCGGCGATATATTTTTATGTACCGCGTTGGCGTCAAAAAACAAATCGAGAACCACAATTTCCATCATTCGATCAGCGAGACCGCCGCGCCGTTATTAATCGTTACAGATATCGGTCCGATAAACGACGAAAATAACTCCGTAAATAACCGTTTTTTTTTATAGATAGCAGAGACGTTGTTGAGCTTGTGCGGTTGTGCACGAATGTTATAATACCGGTAATTCGTATTATTGTTTTTGCTCGGCTGTGAGCTCTATTATAGGTACCTATGTATGACGTGTGTATGGGCGAGAGCGGATTTTCGCAGTTGCGTTTCGCTTCCGCACCACCAGCGGAAACTAAGGCGAACGGTCCTCGGAAACTGGTATATCTGTGACCCACGGTTTACGATTTTTTTTTTGTTCCTGCGAGCTGCAACTCTTCTACCAGAAATCTCGCTTTAATAAAAAAAAAAAAATACAAGGTACCTTTTTTTGTCGAATACTAGGATCCCGAAGGTGCGGAGGTGAGGAGGTTGTTTTTTGTTTTTTTAAACAGTTAACATAATGATTGGGGAAAAACCCGTAAAAGAAAAACTTACAAATTACGATCATAACAATTACATTGTTTTATATATTTTTTTGATTTTTGTTTTCTACAATTTTTTTTAAACGCCTTTTTTGGAAGAAAATTCTGTTAAATTTGTGAGTTTATTATTTGATTTTTGTACAGTTTTCGGCAAAACTATAGGAACGTCGGAAAACGGGTTAATTTGAGGAAATAACGGTTTCATATTTTCGATTTTGTTTTTTGTTGTAATTCGCTAAAACTAATAGGGTCCTGAAATTGTTACCGACCATTTATATCGGCCTTTTTCAGACGTGGTAAACTTTTCAAACCATTCTGTTGATGTTTTATTATTTTATTTACCATTTAATATAAGTACCTAGGGATTTGTAGGTATTTTGACATTTTTGAGTTTTATTTAGTTTGTATTTGGTTTTATATGGATTATAATGTTTGGCGTAACAGAAATACTTGAACATTTATCACCAAGTTCATTATAAGTGAATGTTAATAAATAAGTTGAGCGTAACGTAGTAGATATTTTTATATTCGTTTTAAGTTTCAATTTTTACACAAATCGCTATAATTACGGCATTCAAAAACATGTATTACAAAAATTTCGCTCTGCAGAATAGTATTCCGTCAGTAACGTTGCGTATAGATATAAATTAAACAACTTTTTGTATCGTGTCTTCCCAAATTTAAAAAAAAAAAAATCAATTACTATGCTCATAATGCATCTGTTACATTATTTATTTATTCGGCGATTTGTTGCCCGGACTGAAATATATTTTACATTTTATGTGTGTGCATCAGGTGCTATATAGTTTGTAAAGCATCAGTTTTACCTGAATTTCTGTATTGTGAATTTGAACCGGCCGGAAACGAACTGAAGAGATTCCACCTATCTAACGGAAGTTGAGAGATAACAAATTAAATTTATAGTAATCGCAGTACTTTACAGGTTTTTCAAATACCTATGTATTTAATACACTAATCGGCTCGATTTGCGGACAAATAATTTTCCGATATGAGTGAGGGAATGGTCTTAAGCGATACGTTTATTTTTTGTTCTCTAATAATTAAATATATAATAATCTCGAATTTTTGTTTTCGGAGTGATTAAATTATAATAATTGTGAATTAGACCCCACGGTGTATAGGTTTTGACTGCGATACCATCGAATTCAGAATTCGAGTGTATAATACAGGGTCCTCCTCGACGCGATGACCGTCCGCTATTTTCTACCGTATACAGCGTGAACATATTGTCTGCGTCGCATGATATATCGCGAGACTATTTCCATCATTTTGTTTTTTTATTTATATATCGACGCGCGTATAGTATTACGCTCGTACGTATAATGTACAATATATTATTATATACGTCGACACACTCAATCGACATCGCTAGTATTACCTACAACAACGGCGGCGACGATAAAAATAATAATAGTAACAACACTCGTGTGCAGACATACGACTATTACCCCGCCGGCAATTGGGGGTTCGGAGGGGAAAACGAGTCATTGTACGGGACGAATGGACCGAAACCCCGAGCGCCTGACATGTGTTCGATCGCGCATCAGGAACTCCGGTCCGAATCGGGTGTTCAATTGAAAAAAAAAAAAAACCGCGTTCGCCCATTAATAATAACAACACGAGCGTATAACACAATGCACAGAGCGCTCGTCCGGTCTGCGGAAACGAAACGGACGGACGGAGAGAGGGTTGCACCGCGGCTCGCGGATCCCAATGTCCGAGCATATGTAATAACCGAATCGGTCTTGGGAATTTTACAATAATTACAATAATTGTACTTACTTGATGGTCTAAACCCGATACCGCTCCGAGGAACGTGTACACTGTGTCTTACGTGTAAATCTATATTAATAACCACTACCACCCGTGGTCGACGATAAGCCCCAGTGGGTACGAACGAAGAAACAGGGGAAACACATATACCTGAATTATAATATATAGGACCGGTTGTCGGTCTGAACTCGAAAACGCTTCGAGAAGTCACCGTCAGTGTTCTGAACGTAAGTTCAAGCCGAACTTTGAACGGGGCTCTGTAAATACTACGTGTATAATGTTAGGATATTGCGGCTTCACCCAAGACCGTCGTGCCGTCTGAAATTGCCTCCGATATTTACTCTCGGCTTACCTATATTTTCACTATGTCGGTGTACCAATCACGCTACGAAAAAAACCACCGGTAATTATCAGTGATAATTACCAGTGATAACACCTGGTATTAAAATTTGTACATTTATAGGTGACGATAAATAACGAAAACGTTTCGATTAAATTCTAAACAATATATTATAATATCGTAATATTAATTTTTTTTTTTTTTTTGCTTTTTTACACGTAACAATAGATAATGATAATATAATAATAATTATTATACGTATAGGTAAAATATTATAATATATTTACAAGGGAAATCGTCGATCGACGCGCGATCGCGTTTTAACACATTATCATTTTAAAATATAATAATAATATAATGTAAATAATATATTATGAACAGTCGTAGTATATTTATATGCATAATATTAAATTGTTTATTAAAATTTATTCCTAAAGAAGTATTATTATTATAATAATATATAAACGTTAAAAAAAAAAATTACGATTGTAACACGGAAAAACCGTTTTTGAAACCGCGGTACGATCCGCGATCAAAAAAAAGGTTATGTTATACAGTAATAATAATAATAATAATATGCGTAACGAAGCGTAGTTTCGGTAATATTTTAATCGCTAAAATACAATTATTTTTATTTATTTTTTTTTTTTTTGGCACGATCAGCTATACATTATAAGTCCTCTACGGTCCACCACAAATCCCGTGCGCGGGGTAAAAAAAACGATACATAGCATATAATAGTATATTATGTACCGATTGTTTAACGTAAATTATAATATATTACGTGTGTATAATAATATATAATATTATAATATCGAATGAAATATATTATATTATGTATGTATAGGTAGTCTAAATAAAATATTATTATTATTACATTGCACACGATTTAACAATAAATTTTTTTTTTTATATTTTTTTTACATTTTTTTTTTTACTTTTACTTCTCTATACTATAATAGTAACAACATATTATAATAATAATAATATTTTAATATTATAATATTATATTCGTATCTATATAATATGAGAATAATAATAATTGTCGTAATAACGTATCTCTATATAATAGTTATATACACAGTTAATAATAATACAATAATATATATGTATATATGTAAATAGGTACTCGCGTATCATTATTATGATTTGATATCGATAAAAAACAATAAGTCGTGGTAAGCAACGGAACAAAAAAAATACATTTTACAAATATAAAACGCGTCAACGAACGGCGGGTACAATGTGGTTTTTTTGTTTTTTTCGAAATGTTTATTGTATTCAACGGCTCTCGCGCGCGACCGAGAGCGTTCAAGTCTCTCGAAAAATGAAAAATCGAACGGAATTCACGGGAGGATTGGGAAGGGGGGGTGTTATCCGGTATTTAACTCGCGCGAGCGTTTAGCGGACCAAAAGAATTCGGACGTATCGAACTCGGGCATTCGATGCGTACGTAAAAAATAATACATATCAGAAGAAAAAAACAAAACGTTATTTTTGTACTTTGGCGTTACGGATTTTCACTCCGACGCGGCAACGTCGCGCCGCGGTGTGATCCGGGGAGACGCGTAAAAAGCCCGGGCAAATAAAACGCGAGAACACGCAATAATCGGGAAAATAAACGTTCCCGATTTATACGAACCATCCCTACCCAATGTGTGATGTGCGGCAGAGAGTCGAAATATCATCGAAACGAAAAGCCGCGCAAGCGGACCCGAGGGTTGCGAGGACCCGACCCGTAAAAACGAAATTTTCGAAAAGAATACACTATAACTAATTAGCTGAGAATCGTGTTTTTGTTTTCGCGGCGAAACTACCGCCGCGAACAGCGAACGCAAACGTTTTGCCGGGAGGGGGGATTCCCCTAAATCCAACCCTGTCGCTTACCGATATTTATACGTATCGTGTTATATTTTGTTCGCCGCGGACTCGATCAAACACGCGACCGATATCACGACATAACATATTATATGATTAGTAATAATAATTGATAATAATATGCACTATGTACCTATATTAATATAATAATATGTACAACATATCTATGTATTCATAATATACAGTACACAAATAATAATAATAATAATAATAATAATAATAAGGAGTAAACGACGACTAGGTGGGTGTGTATATGCGTGTGTAATGGGGAAGGATGGGGAAGGGTGTTTTTTAAGTTCGCGTCTCGTTTGTATATAATCATTACCGTCCCGCGGGTAGGCGGTAGCGGTTTGCCGGGACGACGACACTCGTGATGACGGTGATGGTGGTGGTGGTGGTGGTAGTGATGGCGGTGATGGTGATGGGCACGCGCATCGCATTAGACGTCCACGTTGGGCGAATCGGACCCGTCGTCCTCGACGTCCACCGAACCGGGCCGGCTGTCCACCGTCGACCTGGGCGAGTCCCGCGACGAGCGCGGCGGCTCGGGCGTCGGGCTGCGGCCGCCGGACGGCATGGGCGGCATCGCGGCCGGGTGGTGCACGCCGCCGTAGTACAGCGGATGGGCGAGCGGCGGCGGCGGCGGTATGTGGTGGTGATGGTGGCCGGACGCGCCGGCGCCCGCGGATCCGGGCCCGCCGGCCATGCCGGGGTACAGTCTGTAGGCCAGCGGCTTTTGCAGCGTGGACACGGCGGCCGCGGCCACGGCAGCCTGCCGGTAGTACAAGTCCGCGGCGGACGGGGCGCCGCCCGAGCTGGAGACGCCGCCCGCCCCGCCGCCTGCGGCCGCCGCGGCGGCCGCTGCGCCCGCCGGGTACGGCCAACAGCCGTACGGCGGCCCGCCGTACAGTCGCTGGAACGCCGCGTAGTTGCCCGCCTCGGCCAACAGTTCCAGGCCCACTGCCGTCTGTCGTTTCCACTTAGTCCTGCGCGGAAAAAACAAACCAAACACACCTGGTTAGCGGACGGTTTATACCTGGTTTTTACACGCACGCAGCGATGTCGTAGCGCGTAAAAAAAAACGGTACATGACATAATATATTGTGTATCGGCGACAAACGGGGGGGAAAAAAAAAACCCCGACCAGTCATTGTAAAATCTCGAGACGACGCGCGGAGTCATCGCGTTTCATACGACGTGGAAGATTTTTTTTCTCATTAAATTTTTCCTATTGAAAATCGCCTCGCCTGCCCCCGCGCGCGCGGCGGACATCGATTAAAACGTCAACAACGATAATAATATACGTAATATATACGGTATCGTAATAATAACTACGTGTGTATAACGGCCGACACGATCGATTCGTTACATGAGTTTTGTGCGACGATGCCGGGCGGCGTCGCTCGTATTTTATTAGTATTTTTTTTCTTTTTTTTTTTTTTACTGACTATCGAACGAGAAGACGAACGTCGACCGGACGACTTCTGCGGGCGTCGGCGGCGAGACGAGTAGTCCCCCCCACCGTTCGTCTTGTCCCTCTCTCCCCCTCCCCGGAAAAATTTAATAATACACGCGAGAAAAACCCGAGCGCGCGCGCGCGACGAAAAGACTCTGATTTTCTCTCTCTGCGGCCCGTACCGTCGGTGTTTTTTTTTTTCCGTATATTTTTATTATATATTTTTTTTTCTCTGTTCGCCGGAGAGCACGAGCCGACTATTATTATTGTTATTATTATTGTCGTCCGCCCGGAGCACAATGGACGGCCGCGGACACGGGGCTCCGCGTATTAGTGCCGAACGTGACCCGGACGACCCGTGGAAAAACACACAGAAATTCTCCGGTATTCCGTCACATGCGACGCGCGCGCGATGACTGGCCGGTATACGGACCGTACCTAAACCGCGGTACACAACACGGCCGGCAGTATTTTTTTTTTTATTTCGAAAAAACATCGGGTTTTTTGTTCGTATTCATTACTTTGCGCGTCGGTGTAATGTTATGTATTGCGTGCGCGCGCGGCACGCACGCCGCCGACACGATCGCGGAACGATCCGGTCGGAGATTCGGTGTTTTTTTTTTTTTTACTCCTTCCGTACGACGGCGTACACCCTCGAGATTTTTTTTTTCCCGACGTCGGATTTTTCGATTATTGTCTCATACCGCCGTCGCGTTCGTCGCGATTGGATAATAACGCGGCGGGTTTTTTTTCGCGCATCACGACGTTTTCAATAACGTCTTCATCGTTCGCGGAGACGGACGCCGACGTGTCAATTAAAATACCGAAAACCGAACATAATCCGTACGTCTTTCGCCGCGGTTAGGTCGGGTATTTTTTTTTTTTCCTTCGACATTTTTCTACGCCCGCGACGAATTCCGTCTCGCGTGTCGCGCGGCGGCGGACCGTCTCGACCGGCGTCGATTTTTCGAACGGCGATTTCGGTTTTTTCGCGACATAACGAAACGTCGCCCGCGACAAAACACCTCCGAGATGAATCGAACACTGTGCGTAGGATAGGACCGAAGACCGTATGCGACCATAACGAATACGACATTACCTGGGGGGGAGATCCGAGTTATGAATTTGATTGAAAAAAAAAACCCTCGCTATTTTATCGCGTCCTAACGCGACGGCCCCTCGAAATGTGGACCGCGGACCCGTGCCTCTTTTCCTTGCGCCTCCTCCAACGATCCGCGTTATAGGCATTAAAACGCTATTTTTTTTTTCTACCGAGCGGAGCGGTTAGCGCACGACGCTTTTTAACAACGAGGATAACGTCGCGCACCCCGGACCGGACCGCCGCGTGACGTAATATTGAAACGGCACCGTTCTAATTCCGGCGCGGTCGCGTGTGCCAACAAAGGCGCAAACGCAGTTTTTCGAACGCGGCCGTTTGTGCGCCGAAACGCCGCCAATAATAACGACAACGCGGCAATGTACCGCGACGGCGTTAACGGGACAATAAATACGCGGGTCGGCCGCACTAATTTTAACATCAGTTTGATTTAGTCGTGCCGGGCCGTCCCGCGGCGGTCGCGACGACGTCTCGCCGCAATAGTAGTACGTAAATCGGCCGGGACCCGCGGTAAATCAAACGGCCGTTTCGGCCGTGAAAACGCGTCGCGACGGCGCGCAACCATAAGACCCGAGCCAACCGAGTTTTTTCCTCGCCGACGACGATTTCCGCGCGAAAAACCAAACGTTACCGTTAAAAAAAAAAAAAATCGCCCGTCGAAACGACCGCGGGTGCCTACGTCCGAAAACTTCATGATTCGCCGGGCGGGTGTACGGACGGGGCACACGGCCGCGATAAGTTATTTTGCGATATTCGCAAAGCGTGTGAGCGCCAAGGGAAAATAACGTTCGCGGACACCGACTTTTGAAACGGGTGGTAACCGATCAGGTGTCATAGGGACATGGTTGTTTAACGTTGTCGCGAGACGGAATTGTTGAATTTCGAGCGTTTTCCATGTGTGTACAGGGTCGCGCGAAATTTCACAAAAACAATACGAGCAAACGAGATAAAACCAACGGTCCCGGGCGCCCTGCAGCAGTGTGCCCGCCTGTAGAACGCGTACGCCCGAACGTTCGCAGGGGCGGGCGAAGAGAAATAGAAAAACCGCCGCGGAATCGCGCTGTCGCGTCGTCCCGAGCCGCCCGATCCTTTGCCCCGGCGGATCGTTCCGGCGCGCGTGCGTGTGCAGCGATCGTCGCCGGAGCAGCTGATGCGCCGCGGAGACGATAAATTATCGGATCGTTTTCAGCGCCCGATGCGAATGACGCGCCGGAATCGGCACCGGTTAACCGCGCGCGCCATTGTGTCACAAAGGTTTCGCGTGCGTGCTCGTCCTTTTCGGTGCGCAGTCGTTCCGTGTACATACACATAAACACGCGGTTATGATAACGACGACACGGGCAATAACAATAATAATAATAACAACAATAAATACCGCGTCCCATTATCCCCGCGCGCCGCCGCGTTTGTCGCGACGGACAAGCCGCGATTTTTCACACTCCAAATGATCGTTTTTATAGTATTATTATCGGCAGGTACGACAACAATGACGATACGCGCGTACGTACGCGGGGAGTTCTTTTCGTTTTCGTTTTTTTTTTTTTTTTCCGCCCTTTCTTCGCATTATCGCACTCCGGCCGCGACGCGTTATTTACGCGCGGCTTGCGGAATATTAGCGTCTTGACGTTCCCGTACGGAATACCCGCGGGCAACGGTATTGACGACGCGCACAATATTCGTCGGCGGCGGCGTTCCGTGTGTTGCCGCGCACGGTGTATTACCGCGGGCCTTTTGTCCGGGCGCGTCTCGCCGCGCGCCCCGCGGCGACGAGCGGCCGGTTTCTCCGAGTGGCGACGCGCGTTTTATTGCGCGTGTATAACGCGTGCGAAACGGGCGACAAACGACCGCGGCGGTCCCCCCGCGCGCATATTTACACAACCAGACACCGCGCGGTCGCGCCTACACGTGCAATTACGGCCGGGTTTTTACACGGTCCGCCGGATTCCGTTTTCGGGGATCTCCGGCAAATCGTCGTTAATCGCACAATCCGGCCCGACGTCCGCGGTTTAACGGCGAATCGCGTTCGGCACAACAATTATTGTCGTTACGGGCGGCACGTTGTCGCGCGGGGCCATTACAGCGCAGCGCACAACTGCTGCTCGCGTCGTAATCGTTATTGTTATTTTGTTGACACGTACGGTTTTCGTTTGTTATTCGCGGCGGCGGCGGCAAACAAATACAACATCGTGATTCCGATTTCGTTATGCCGGAAACGGAAATGGAAAACGGAAAAACCCCGATACTTTGCCGCGGATTAAAAAAACCGAAAACCCCCGTAACGTTTACTATACTCGTGCGTATGAATCTTTTCGCGAAAAAATCCGAATCGACTGGCACGCGGATGGACACAATATTCCCACAAACCGACCGCACGCACCGTGGTAAAACCTGGATACGGACCCGGGTAGAATATTTTTCGACTATTCCGAAAACGCACGAAAAACAGTATGCGCTATGATCGGAGACCGGATCTATACGCTCTTGAAATCTACAAAGAAGCACTCGGAAACGTCGAAAAATCATTGAAAAACGCACGAAAAATAAAAATATTTGGCAAAAGCAAAAAAGACGGAGGAGTTTAAGTCTCTCCGCCAATGTGACTCTTAACTTATCAAATTAAATTTCCTGAGTCTATGAAAATAATTTTTTTTTAATAAAATCGCACGTATTGTAAAAAAAAATAATAACTTTTTACTAACCGGTTTTGTAGTGTCGGGCAATTTTATTTTATAAGTGAAATCCGTTAGACGGGGAGGGAGGATTTCTTTTAAACCCATATAAATGTTTTTCGAGTGCTATTTTGCGGACATAAGAGCATACAACTCCGGTGTTTAGTCATAATATATGTATTCGAATACATCGCAGCAACAGTATTTCGGGAACAATACGCGATAAAAACAAAAATCTAAGGTTATTGCGTTCGGGCGGCTCGAGGAAAATGCACACGTCACGTATGACGATGCACGGGTGACGCACGTTACGCAAGGAAATATTCGAACCTTCGGGAATTTCGAGAAAACGTTCGAAATCCATAAATGGCCCGAAAATGAGCCGTAATTGACTGCAGTACGGCGTGAACAAATCGGAGCATTTTCACCGGGCGGAATAGTGTTTTCCGAGAAAAAATTAAGTATTATTATTATTTTTTTTTTTTTTTAAGGAACACGATTACTTATTAAAACTACATTTTGAAATACTGCAGCGTTAAAAGTTACTGTCGCGGAAAATGGTATTTCTGAAATATTCGCATAGCATTTCTAAGAGACGTTGCCGACTTATAAAATGATACTTTCGCGATCCCGGACAAAAAATCCGTGTTTTAATTACATCTGCCTGTTTTTTTTTTTAAAACGTTTAAATTGATATATCGACGTTCTCGGTTCGATTGAAGGACGACCGCGAGCGATGGTTCAAACGATACCGTACTGGACGTGTCGCCCGGGAATCTCGGGACCGCACCGAGTGTAGAGGGGGAAAAAAAGGGAAGCGGTTTTTGAAAATCGGTCCGCGATCCCCCCGTGTCATTACGGCAGCGAAACGACTATACACGTCCGCGCCATGTTTGAGAACAGGATAACCCCCCGTGGTATCGCGTATACCTACCGTAACCGCAAAATCGTCTACCCCTTCGATACTCCCTACAAATATACGTATACGTTTATACGTATTTGACTCCGGACCCCTTTCCCAAACACCCCCCGGCCTCGGTATCTTTACTATCGCCGCCGTCGTTATTATTTATTTATGCTCCCCGGAGCCGTTATACACTGTGGAGGGCCGGGGAGGGGCGATAAAAAATAAAAACCGTATAATAATAGCCGCATACCCAGTATAACAACAGTATAATAACAATGTATACAATACGCGTGCGTATATTTTACGAAACATAAACAGAACTAGGTTTTATTTATTCGTTTTCGTATTTTTGTTTTTTTGTCGCAATTATTACGAGGCGGCCGCGGGTTATTCGCGTTCGTTAGTGTTTTATACCGGGTACGTTGTGTATGGTATCGCGAGCGGCCGAAAACATGCGGGCGTTTTACGCACCTCGCGTCTCACGGGGTGCCAACCTACACATAAATTTATATAATAACAGATTTTAAACAATGTTTTTCCCCCAAAAAAAAAAAAAAAACGCCTTCCACGTACGTATTTAACGGCCGTTACGACACTCGCGACGCGCAGCCACCCCCTCCCCCACCGTTTCGCGGACGATTATTACGCGATTTTTTCGGCGCGCGCGGAAACTCGCGTCCGCTTCTGTACGAAAATGTCGACATCATCGGGGGGGGAGGGGGGACGTTTATCGCCGCGTACATCAAGCACACAACACGAAGGGCCGAGCGCGAGAACCGCGGGTATGTCCGGCGATGACCGGTCACCTCCTGTTGTATAGCGCGCGGCGTGTTTCACCGGTTAGAAATCATCTTCGTTCCGTAACCCCCCGAACAATGTAAAAATGTATCGATGCGTCCGCACTACTCGTCTGTAGGATTTCGTTTTCGAAATTTCACTACCAACAACAACAATAGTTACGCGCGGCGTCCGAGAACGCAACGCGTACAGACGCGACCGTGCACACACGATTCGTGTGTGTACACGGGTGCACGCGATATCGTGATAAAAACGAGACTCACCTTCTGTTCTGGTACCAGGTCTTGACTTGGGTGTCGGACAGGTTGAGCTTGGCCGCCAACTCCATGCGGTCCTGGACGCTCAGATACTTTTGCCTCTCGAAGCTCTTCTCCAGCGTCTGCAGCTGGTGGTCCGTGAACGCCGTCCGCGCTTTCCTCTGTTTCTTGCTCAGGTTCGAACCGGAATTCCGGCCGTCGTCGTCTCTGTGACCTGTGCAAACGAAAAACCCGATACGGTATTAACAATGAAAACATCGCAGGATTCCGTTGGGTTTGGCGATTTAACATAGCTATTAAAACACACGTATACGAGACAAATGTGACGCGATGATCCCGGGGACTTGTAGCGTCATAATTAATTACTACACTATCGAATCTATAGAATAGTGCGCAACGGAAATGTATGTCGCGTTACGGGTTTAAATGCGAAATTCAAAAGTACGTTTTTTTGATTGTCTCCAGAGTTTATGGGAAATACGTAAAAGTACATCTTATTAGTTTTCGAAAAAAATGTTTAGTGCTTAATGCCGCAAGGCCGTAACGGGTTTTTTTTTTTTTTTTTAAACGTTTCCAAGCGCTTATCGTTTCGTTTATTTCGATTTGTCACGAGTGCCGAGCACGCAGCGGGCGACTACACTTTTCAAACTCGTATTACATTTGGCCGCGATCAATTCGTATTGAAATTACGGCGCGTTTTCGAGACAGAATTTTACGATTTGTAATAAAAGAGTACGCGGTAAATTTCCGCGTTTACGCGCCTACACGTAATAATATAATATGTACTCGCTAATCGTTTTAGCGAATTTCCTCTTTGATCTCATACGGTCCAATTAAAATAACGTGTCGGTCGTAGGTATGCGCATTATATATAATATTATAAACGAAACGATAAAGTCTTCGCGCAGTTCCGCGCGTGTATTATATCCTGCGTCTAGTTTGTGTCGGACATTTAAGGTTTTATTATTATTAGTATTATTTTATTTTTTTATTATTATTATTTAACTCGTTATTACACCCGCGTATAATACGAATTATTAGTAAAAAAAAAAATCCACAACGCGTATATTTATAATAAGCGCGCAATAATATTGTACGGAAAAAAAAAAAAAATAAAAAAACACCACCCCGAAACGCGATTTAAAGCTTAATAGCTCGGCGGCTCGAACGACTGTATCACGTGATAATATCGCGGACACGCATGTCCGCACGCGAAATAACGGCCGCGGTCATTAGCGTGGCGCAGCTCCGGCGGAAAAAAAACGGCGATAAAAATCGCACAAAACGGCCCGCGTGTAAACGGCATGTGCGTGGGAGCGGGGGCGACGGGTATGATATTATTTGTACACGGGGAAATTCTACTAAATGCTCGTGTTAATGTGGAAAAGAAAAAAAAAAAAAAAAACCATCGCGCTTTTTCGGCATCACGACAACCGCAGTGCGTTACACACTGCGCGCGCGCGACGTTGTACAACCGATGATTCCGTCGTCCGTACGCGACGTTTTTCGGAACTCTGTTTCTCGTTCTCAATCGCGTACCCACAGGTTTTGTTGTACAGGACGTATCTGTTTATAACGCGCGTATTTTCGTCGGTATTTTTAAATGAAAAAAATCGCTATCGAATAAAGTACGGCGAAAAATCCGCGTTTTACGAGGTATCGTTTTTTTTTTTTTTTTTTAGCGATCGATAATATTATTGTTTTCCGCGGGAGAATAATAAAAACCGTCATCGTTTAATTACACTGTACGTACGGTAAAAACTACACTGCGGGGAGTCCGGCGAACTTATATGGACGTGCTTTAACCGTCGTATCGTAATGTAATTTCAACGTTTTCGCGAATGCCTAAGAGTCAAGCTCCGTGCCGTCTCTTTTACCAAACAAATCGGACCGGGGACAAAAAACGCAAAAAAAAAAAACCGCCAATTTTCACACGGGGACGGACGAGCCGTCGTAACGCATTAAATATCGAGCATACGCGGACAGCGGGGGGATTTCGTTGTTATCGCAACCCGTTCCCGCGGCCGGGTGCACCGAGTAACCCGTCAAATAGCGTAATAGCGTAATAATATTATGATAATTTCGTCCGTCGATTTACATCGGAGGGGAAAAAAAACAAAACAAAAAAGAATTGCGGCGCAACACCTCCCCATTACAATACAAACGCGCGTGTAAAAAATAATATCGTTATACAGGGTGTTTGTTGCGGGCGCGCGCGCGCACCCGTACAATGGCTGCTACACGGATAGCTGCCGTCGACGCGAGAGGGGTGGCGTGAGGCGCGATTGTTACGCGGCGGGGCGGCGGTAATTGGAGTAAAATGGGAATAATAATAATACGCGAGAGAGAAAGAAATCTGTCGGGCGGGACGGTGAGGCGGGAGCCGGGCGAAAGCCAATGAGCCGCGGTGCGCCCGAGTGCCGGGGCTTAAGTGGTCCGCCGCCGCCCTTCTGTCGCTAATATACGGGCCGCCGGGTCTTTGGCGGGCGGCTCGCTCTTGTTTTCCCGCGCCTCGCGACCGCACCGCCGCGGCGTCGACGACGTGGCTTTTCGCCCCCTCCCCCTTCCCCCCATCCCCTTCACAAACACTCCTCCCGGCCGACCGTATCGTTATTGCACGCGCGCGCGCGCGCACACCCTTTCTGCAGCAGCTCTTTGCCGCGGCAATCTCACACCGCGCACACCCATGCGGTATACCCTACCGCGCCGCCGTCAGCGCGTACCGACTCGCGTGTAGATATATCAATTTAATGGTGCTCGACTACGCTATATACCCTATTTATATATATATATATATATATTATGTGTAATTTCCAAAGTCTCCGCCCAACCCGTTTATAAAACGCTAATGGACCCGACTGTGCGTCGTCGTCGGTACACACCAACGCGGTATACGTACAGTGTGTATTACGTGTACGCACACGCACACTCGGCCGTAAACCAAATTGTATCGCTACCGAACGGCCGCGCGTACGTTAATCGCGAACCAAACGCGTTTAACATTATTTGCAACGTTATCGTTTAAACGGTCGCGTAACGGAATCGCGTTGGTACAACGCCGACGGGCCCCCGCTCGCACACTAACGCGCCCGGGCGAACGTAAGTTTTGCCGCCCCGTATCGCCTACCCCGCGGGCCGGGCCCTAATGCGGGAAGACGCCCGGTCCCCGCGGATTTCCGACGTTTCGTCACTGTGCACACCCGTATGCCCGTCCGCGCGGGACCGATACGCGTTTCCCGCGGCGGGCACCGCTGCTCGCGTTGTACCGCGACGCGAGGCCGGGGATCCCGAAAAAGCCGCGCGCACGTTAACGAGAAACCGTACACGCGCGCCGCAAGAGGGCCGTGTATAATACTGTGTCCGCGACGTGTTGTCGGTTGTTTTCGTATTATTACGCGCACGAATTTCCACGCGGCTCGCGCGCGCGCGCGCGTGTGTGTGTGTATGTGTGTGTGTGTGTGTGTGTGTGTGTGTGTGCGAGCGCGCGCGATATGATGGCGTGCAACTCGCCGCGGTATAGTTTGCGCGAAGCGGTCGACAGAAAACGCGGCGCCCATTAAAACATATAAAGGGTAATAATATAATAATATAACGGGCAGGGTATATATATATGTATACGGGTACGATATTATATACGCGTAAAGGGTCGATTTCCAACGCCGCCGGTCGGCGGGACGTACGGGCGACGGCGACGGAGAGAGAGAGAAGGGCCCGGCCCGCTTATTATTATTAGTACCTATACATAATATAATATATAAAATCATATAAACACAACGTTATTATATTATTATTATTATTTATTATTTTATTTTTTTTTTTTTCCCCCGTAAGGGTGTTGTTTATACAGCAAAACGGCTCGGTTGCCAAGAACTTTGCGTGCCGTTCGTATTGTGAAGGTGTGTGCGACGTATACGTATATACACGCGGCCGCGTATACTTATGCGTATTTATTATATAGGTAGTCGCCGTTTATATACGCGGAACAACGTTTATTAATAATAGATTTTTACCCCCTAAGCGAAACTCGCGCCCCGCCGCCGCCGCCGCCGGGGTCACAAAACCGAGTGGTTACGCGCGGTATATTATTTGCGCGCGCGCGCCGGTTATTGGCCGACGAGCGAGATGGTGCCGCGGTAACGCGACGTATTATTCCGCGGGGGTTTATAAAACCTAACCCGTCCGCCAGGGAGGAGGGGGAGGGTCCTGGGAACCGGGGGCGACGGTAACGAGTCGAGAGAGCTTGGAAGAAAAACGACTCCGTCGCGCGTGATATTTATCGACGGCCAGAAATGAGCGGCGCCCGCGAAAATAACGTCGAAAACCGGCAAAACGCCGTTTTTCGAAACGCGACGTAGCGGCGAACAATCGCGTTTAAAATGCGCCGCTCTTTTTCACGACTGCGCGCTACAACACAATAGAACGGCCGCAAAGGCGAAATCGTTCGGGAAAAATCTCGGGTTCCGTCGGCGACGGAAACTATGTGTGTATAGTGAAAAATCGATTTTTTTTTCCTTTTCATAAACGCGAAAAAAAAACGGACATTGTCGAGATAGCGCCGTTTGTTTGCTATCGCTACCAGAACGTGTTTACTGACTGAACTGACTGCGTGACTGCACAAATCTGTAAAAATGTTATCACCGTCAACCGCTGTTGATCAACAGAACAACGGGAAAATTGACTTTCCGGCCGTTCTGTAGAATAACAGTGCGTACAATATAATGCGTATATTTTTATTTTTGTCGCGGCATTGCACGCACCGACTCTTGAAACTCAAAACAAAAAAGGTCAACTTTGCCGCGGTTTTTATACGCGTGCACTCGTACGCGCGACGGGTTCGGTAAAATGCGCTCGTATAAAGTATGTAACGTTATAATTACTATAATACACCTGCACGGGTATACACGAGTATCGAGGACGATAATGCGTAGGTGTATATATTTTTACTTTATATGCGCGCGGCGTACGGACGAATAGTTTTTACCGCGGTTATTAAAAATTCAATGAGAAAATTTTAATAAACACCCCGTTGCCATTATTGGGTATGCGTTATCTAGACTAGGCGGCGGTTTAATAAAATAGTAACTGTTTTTTTATTTTTTTTTTTCCCTAACTTTTCCTCCTATACAATTTTTGTCCCTCGCTGTAATAATAATAATAATAAAAAAAAAACTCCTATACATTGCAATAGACTTTGGGTCGAGGAAGTCCGAATTCAATATAGGGCCCTATCATATACCTAATACGTTTACAATTCGATGTTTGTTTTTTCTCGTTAGACGGGCGGTGTCTCCAATAACCATAAGCCGACGTCGACAACAAAACACGTCTGCGCTACGTCAGACGCGACATGAAACTTTTAAAAGCTCAATGTAATCCGAGAAACTCCCGCGCTCAAAGTGTCCACCGGTGTAAATAGTGAACGCGCGTTAAATTTGTGGCCTCGTATACGTATAAAGGTGGTAAAATGTCACGCGAGGAAAACGCGGTTCGGAACACGATATACGTATACAGGGTTGTATCCGCAGAGTATTGTCGACAATTTCCTACGCACTAAACGCGTAACACGGTAATCGTATAGCAGAAAATTATCAAATATCTCGTGGACGTTTTCTGTACGTTAGACCGCGAGTGTTCCGTGTGTTGCGCACTGCACTCCACGCCGTGCCCGTCCGCGTTATTTCCGCGTATAAATAAATGAAAAAAAAAAAAAAAAAAACGAAAACAAAAAATAAATAGTGATAATAAAAAATCGTTTTGTAGCGGGCATACGTTACATAATAAACGATTGTAATATTTTGTCCGCCGTCGATTTAATCGACGACCGGTTGACAATAATCTCGCGCCGGGAACGACGGAGCGTACGCTGTAACCTTGACGATACCCGCGTATCGGTTCTCGTACCTCCTATACCTCCTAATAATAATAATAATAATAATAATAATAACAATAATAATAATAATAAAACGATGTCGTTGCGCGACGGCTATAGTATCGAAAAAATCCATTCAGACCTCCGTTAAAAAGTGATTATCGGTGCTATCGACGGCGGCGCGGAGACGTGTATAATGAAACATTAACCATTATAACACGGTACATAATATATTTACGATATTATAACGTATAAGGTACTCGACGGTGGCGTGACGGGACCCGCGCGGGTGAATCGATTGTCGGAACGTTTTCCGACTCGTTTACAATATTCGTCGTCGCCGTCGAATAATATCGACGGATGTTAAAATAATATTACAATGCCGTAGCGGAAAATCCCGGACGGGAGCCGCGCGGCCTTCCGCATCTCGCTGCGGGAAGGGCTCGAACCAATTTTTCCGGCGTTTTTTTTTTTTTTTTTCTTCTTCCTTCGTAGCGTGCGCGATTGCCGACACGAGAGAACGGCACACGAGTCGCGCGACGCGCGTTCCGTGTTCGATGTGCGCGCTTGCACAGTACGCGAAAACTACGACGCGGAATCGACTTCGGTCCGCTTGTTTTACTCCGGGACCCGAAGACGTGACGGCCAGCTCCTCGCCAAGGGGCCACAACGAATCCACCTCGTACGGTGCATAGTACACAGCAGTGATGGGCCAAACGTTCGATCGATGGACGATTTAAACGTCGGTCTCCATTCTGTTGGAATTTATGTTTACGTAATTAGTAGACAAATATCAATCGCAGATCGTTTTTATCGTAATATATTATCTCTATTTTTTTGTAAACTTATCAAGTAATAATTGTATTACGTTTTAGTTATATTATTTCGTACGTGTGTATATGTGTATACTATTAATTGCGTACTATTCTCTATCGGGTAATTTACAATTATACTTTTTTGTTTGGAAGTCGATCCTCTAGGGAAAAATATACTCTTTATACATCTCTTTGATACACAGACAGTATCATTGATTTTAGCAAAAAGTTTCGATCCGTTTTTATAGCCACGGTTTTTCTCGGGCGGATACGGGATTCAAGATCGGAGAACATCGCCGATGACCGTATATTGTGCACGTATACGTGTTACGGACGTTGCGATTCTGCCGGGGCAATGCAAACCGCAAGAAAATCAATTTATGTTCACACGAAATGTGTGAATTATTATTATGTGTTTAAAATACGTAACTTATTTACACGATTCATTTTATTATGTGAAAATTATTATAGAAGGAATTTTTTTTTAAATTTTAATGAAAAAAAACAATAAAATTCTCAAACCTATAAGAAGACAAGGATACGACCGTCGCAATTGTATACAATGCCTTTGCAAAAACAAAACAATTCGAGTGTAAAAAAAAAAAAAAAAAACAGGAAGATTATGCAACATTCAAAGTGTTATAATATATGTATAGTAATACACCGCGGTACCTATAATACGAATAAATAGGTAAAATGAGTAATATTTAAAAAAAAAAAAAAGAAAACAATGTACGTAATTTTACATATACGTAGGTAATTAAAATGAATTAAAAACGTATCGAAACAAATGCGATTAATTTAATTTAATTTTTTCCTTTTAAATAACATTATAATTAGCACGTAATAAAACGCAAAAACATACATACCGGCAAACGTATCATTACCATACCGTTTCGCGTTCGAATAAATCGTTTCGTTCGCGGTTCACAACGGCCGGGGCAGAACCGCATTTCCCGTAACACGTATACAAAGTTATTCAAAACGGTTCATCCGGTTCGAAATGCTTTTTTCGGTTTTTAGGTTCGCAGTAATCTTTTGGAATACAGATCATACGGTACCCGCCATATGATAATATACTAATAACGTTCTATTTGGCTCAGTGTCGAATCCGTACAATTTTTCTGGTGGGGGAGAGGGCAGTGGCATTAAATGTTATTATTGTTAATATTACACAACGCGAATCGGCCTATTATTGTAAAACTCAAAGGTAAACACAATATATCGTCTGTGTTTTTATAATGTTTTTCGTATTTTACCAAAAATACCTTATTTTAAATGCCCGATATGTTGCCTTTCAAGACACGCCCGATCAGACTCTGCTGATAATCGTTTTCCGTCAAAGGTTTATCGTTGCTTATAATATACGTAGTTATACAAATCACATTCTATTGTTTCACGCATGCGATAACCGCGGGGCACACCAGTCCGCCGCAGTATCGGCTCGTTTTTTTCGTTCTTAAATCTTCAAATGAAGCCCGCGAAATATCATCACGGTTCGTAAAGATAATATAATCTAAAAAACCGAAGTATACAAACGCGGATATTTGTTGTTTTCCTTTATTTTTTTTTTACCTTCGAGTTTGCCGATATTCCGGCCGATTCTCTCTAATCGTAAAACGCGTAACATACAGCATCGAGGGGCGAGATAATCGGTCTGAAAAATCTAAATTTTCGACGAGTATTATACTGTAGCGGTTCCGCACGGTTTTTGGCCCGGTTCCCGAAACCGTATATTACGCGTATACCTCGACACGAATTATTAGACACCGCGCTCGCCGTCTGCCGTACAGACGACAGGGAACGGGGTAGATGGGGGAGGGTGGGGTGGTGCGCAGGGGAGGGGACGCGATAATAATAATATTGTTGTATACGAGAGAGAGGGAGAGAGAGAGAGAGAGAGTATATTATACGCAGGAGACGGCGAAGAGGACGATTTACGGCCGTCGTCGCGTGTATTAGCGCCAATTAGCGGTCGCGGGAAATAAATAATACCGTCGCCGCGCGGCGCTGAAATAAGTCGCGCCTTCCCCCCCCTCTGTCCCCCTGCCCCCCCCCGTTTTGCCCGCCCCGAAAATATGTGTTTATTATATCATTGTACGGCGGCGGGCGAGGGAGGGGGTAGGGGAGACGGTGTGGACTATTTCTCGTTCCGGAAAGAATAAAAACGCGACGCGCGGGAGGTGGAAGACGAACAAAAAAAAAAAAACAACTGTCTCGGAGACGCGGACGGAAACGCGTTAATTATCGCGGGGCCAGGAGACGACGTACCCCGAGCTATTATTATTATCATTATTATTATCGTCGTCGTCGTCGTCGTCGTCGTTGTCGTAATATACTTATGATAATATTTATGAGGTCTCCGGCGTAAATTATCCGTGAGCATAAAGGCGTCTGCTGCTGTTATAATGCGCGGCCGCGTAATGATCGTTTCGAATATAAACTATCGTATGCGGTTTTTTTTTTTTTTTTTTTGTTTTTACGCAAACAGTCGTTATAATAAAACTCGTTGGCGCGATAACTTTTACGCGCGATTTGAAATGTAAAAAATTTTACGAAAAAAAAAACAATCATAAATCGTTCCTTATAATATTATTTCGGTACAGTTCGCGTGCAGCGTATTGCGCGCGTGCGAAAAGCGAAACTATTATTATTATTGTTATTGTGACGATAGTATAGTTGCCAACAACGGTTTTTTTTTTCGGTTTTTTTCCGGTTCCGTTTAATTAACACGGAATCGGCGGACGACACGAGACGGGCCATAACCGTCAGTTCCGTACAGCCACTGCGGGGGCGCAGACATTTGACCGTCCCCACTCAGAAATCGTTTGTTTTATCGGCTTAATTTCGGTCGATTACAGGGTGTATTTTTATCGTTAAAAACCCGGCATTAGAGCCTCCCCGGAATGTTGTTTTCTACCGAATACCGCGCGTTAATGGAATTTAAGAACCCCGAGCCGGCAACTATATGATTTCATCGTTTAGACTTCGAACGCTCTCGAACAGACTCGAAAATCGAGAGATTGTGTAAACGTCGCGAGAGTTTATGACTTGTAAACTTGATATCGCTCGGTATACACCGTGATATTTCGGTATACTGTAAAGTACTATTTTTTTTCCGAATAGATTGTAAAAAAAAAAAAACAAAAAACTAGTTGGCGCTGCGAACCATCATAGTGCGGGCACCGCTCTGACACACATCACGGACATATTACAGAAATCGTTTTCGTACCTATAACCAGTAAATTATATACCACGGTTTTTCATTACACGTTTAAAGAGGTGTATAACATACGGACGCTTATTATTATTATTACGTTGTTTCGGGGAGGGGCAAAAAAAACCCTCGTACACCTTTTAACGTAGGTACGTCAAAACGAATATAACCCGCAACGATTCGAGGGCCAAAAATACACCTTCCGAAAACCCTCGCGCGTATAATAATGAATTACGTTTATACAATACCTCGCGGGTATCGCGTAAGTATATATAGTACTATACAGGGTGATCCGTTTGTATCGTTACGAAAATACGGCGATTTTAGCGGGAGGATTTCGAGCGTATTCGATTTCTGTTTTTTTGTTTTTTTTTTTGTTTTTCCATTCAATCGTCCGAGACAAATCTCCGGTTCGTGATAAATGAGGATCGTTCTGTATAATATTATGCTATATACGATACGAATCCTTTTTTTTTTTCATTTCTTCGTACTCGGTAGCAATAGTATATAATTATATTATTTCGTACGTACCTGTAAACCTATAATATAATAATAGGTTTTTTTCTTTTTTTTTTTTATATATGTATTAAATCGAAAACCAAATTGCATCGGTTCAATAATCGGTTATAACTTACATGCGATATTTATCTGTTATTTTTTCATTATTAAGTATATATATATATATATATATAGATATACGATGCGCGTATTGGCTATTAGCCGTTTCGTGTGCGCGCCGAATTTAAACGATATGTTTTAAAGTCGCCCTTCCCTCCGTCAAAAAAAAAAAACGATTTTATATGTACTGCACGACATATTAACGGTTGTCAAAATAAAAGGCAATATAACAACAACAAATGTAATTTCGGACATTTTGTTATATACCTACCTACTATATTATTATTTATTTATTTATATTTTGTTTTGTGTTCTGTGTTTTTTTTAACCTTTTGAAAATCGCGTGACGCGCGTCATGCTATACTATACCTGTACGTAATACGCTTTTATAAAAATGACCGTTCAAATACACACACGGGAACGATACACGGCCTGAATTGGATTCGATCGATTATAATGTTATTTAGAAAATACACGACCACGCGGCAAGTGTATATTATATAAAACTCAACGGAAAAACGTCTCGTTCCTATAATATTAACAACAATAGCATCCCCCGTTACAATCGTTTGTGTTTTTCGACTTGTTTTTATTGCTTTAATAAGCCTAATAATATTATAACTGTACAGACAGTCGGTCTGGATTTTCAGGTTCGTAAAAAGTCAAATTATTGATTACTACCTATATATATATATCCTATTATACTCCCAAAAGAAAAAAAAAACTTTAACAATTGAAAAAACTGCTAAAATATCAGATTATAAGCTCGAAATTCGTACAATACACGATGTGTATTTACTTTGAGTTTCGTGCGGAGCGAGTCACTGTATGTTCATTATTTCGAATCAATACAATAATAATATAATATGTAGTTTGCACAATAGTCGCATAACAGATAACGCGTTATATAAACGGGCCCGAGTCATCATCACCCGAGGCCGCGTTATTTTCCGGGTCCTGAACCGCCGATATCAAGTGAGGCCGTTTGTGTGTGTGTACATATATAACTATACTGCAATGCCTGCAGTACACGCACACAGCATAATACACGAAAACAATATGCGTTACTATTACAGCATTCACTGATGCTGTATCACTGATACAGCTGACGGGTGTTATTGTTATCCATATGTTTGTTGGATATAGTGTACGTAAGGGGCGGTGATTGGCCGTTGCAAACGCGTGTTAAAATTCGGTGACCACCGTAAAGACGTACCGGGAAATTTCCGGAGCTACATAATATTTCCACACGATCAACAGAAAAAAAAAAGAAAAGAAAAGAAAGTTACGGCCCGAGCACAAGTCGTGACCGATGTCACGTCGCGTGTATATAACGTGCTCGGCCGCGATGAAAAGCGGGGCGGGTAAAGAAAAACCCGAAGAAAACATAAAACTCGCGCGTTGCAACGCGTACTCGTATTATCGAGGTACACGTTGTCGCGACAAAACGGTTATTCCCACCCTCCGGGCGTATCGAATTTTCCGCAGGGGTGAAAATATAATAAAATAATTTGCCGGAGGTACGTACGTATAATGTATACATATACAAGCAAAGTGATTATAATATTATAAAGAAAACGTAAGTATTTCGACGGGCAGGCGGTGGTATTGAGAAAAGCGCTCGAAACGAGCCGCGAAAGTCGGGAAATATTCGGCCGGACGCGGAAACGTATTTACATTTTTACTGGCGCCCTTTCGTGTAATAACGCGCTTTTGCTTCTTCTTTTATTTCTTACAACAATTTCGCGTCGCACGTTTGTACACTTTGTACCGCCGTACGGTTCGTGCTCTAAAACACACTATTTTAACTGCGTAAATTGAGGGACGAGGTAATACGACTTGTATTTCGTAAAAAAAAAAAATTTTTTGTGCGTTTTTTGCCTGATCGTCCCGTTGAAATGCGGCGCCCGACGGGGTCCATCGTCACCTCCCAATAATATTATGATTTAGGACGTTAATGCTAAGTACGTTTCGTTTAGCCGGACGGGGGAGGGGGTGATCTAAAACTGCAACGTTTATCGAAAAGTATCTACTTCAAATGCGCAAACCTATTTTCATTCCGCGCGTTTTTCCATTTTTCTAGCATTCCCCCCCACCCCCGGTCATATAAGGTGAACGGATCGTACGATTAATTCGTTATATATCCGTGGAGGATATACAATATAATGTAGACAAGCAGGTCGTATAGAAACGTAAAAAAAAAAATTCCCGAATCGGCGGAATAAGCATTATACGGAAAGAACCCCCCCCCTACCACGACAAATATAATAATATAAAAACTCGTTTTAAAACGCGGAACGGTATGCTTGTAACGATAATATATATATATTATACACAAGGGCGGAAATCTCGAGTGCGAGCCGCGTACTTACGGATTACGCGAGCCCTTTGTGCCGAGGGTCTCTCGACGCGCGCGTTAATCCGACGCGGTCCGATTCAAACGTCAAAATCGCAGTTATCGCTTTATATTATTATTATTATTATTATATTATCATCGATACGATATTATTATTGTGATTACGGTATACACGAATATAATAAAATAACAATTTGTATTAGAGGCGGCCCCATGCGTATGCCCGGGACCGTATCGATTTATCCGCACCGGCGGAGGATTAAAATCCACGCGCGCGCGCACACCTTATATTATTGTACACTTATTTTAATAATACTTATAAAGACTTTTTCACGATAATAACGCCATATCTTATATATTATGTATAGGTGTCTACAAAAATACCTATACATATATATGTATGTTATACTATGCGCGAAACGAATTTTTCGCTTAAACGTCACGAAAATCGCACATTGTCGGACGACAAAACAGTGTACCTACATATACATACATAGTCGCAGTTCTATAGATATGTATACATATACACGCGTATACCTGCCTACTAACTATAATATATATATCAGTGGCGTATAGAGGATTATACACATGGGCTGCAGATATTGGATTTCGCAAATCGCGTTCGTATTGTGTATAATACGCGTAAACCTCGGCTAAAAAAAAAAAAAAAGAAGAAAAAAACAGTTTTGCGCGTTTTTAACAGCCCGTGTGTTGCTACAGTGATTTTACTGATACCACTAAAGTTACTTAAGTAATTAATTGTATTTAATCCGCCCCAAAAATGATCGTTCGAATCGAACAATTAACCGCGGGGGTTCGGGTAATTATATACTGTTTAGGCGTCTATCGAGACGCGCCTATCCTAGACATATTAGATTGATAGACATGATAATCCCTGTTAATACTATATTATAACGTGTATTCATACATTTTACCGGTTCGCACAAGTCTCGTTTTAAACGATGAAATATATACGTTCGCGGGTTTATTCAATGTAATATAATATTATGGATACCAAATACACAATTAAGATTGTCAATTTTTTTGATTAAAAAGTGAAGAAATTTGAAAGTTTGAATATATATGTTTTATATAAATAATAAATAGATATACCCACTAGATAAAAAAAAAAGGGGGGGAGGGAACGTATCTCATTAATATTAATCCGTAAATATACCACTGATATATATGTGTATATATTACATTAATAGAGTTGTGAATTGAGGCTAGGAAAATGCATTTTTTTTTTAGCCGATACATACGGCGTATTTATCTTAAATTTTAAACGTATTTATTTTATGATTTTATAGCGCATTAAACTCGTAGCTGTATAAATGTAACGTATATATATTTTTGCATGACTTTTTTTTTTAGCCTACCACTCCTTTCACCTAATGATCGTAATAATACCCGACACTTGGCCACCGCCGGAAATACTGTTTGCCAAGACAACGCGCGTGTAACGTGTACGTTTTTTTCCCAAAACCATCGTTACATTTCTATAAAAAAACATTTTTCCAATTTTACGCTTATTATTAATTATGCTAATTAATTATTACCTTTTTTTTTATGGGCGCGAGGCCACGGACGTAAGCCCTGCTTATCCTACTCTAACGTCGACCATGCACACACACGAAATTGACACGATAAATAATAATAATGCACGATCGATGCAGCCCCCCTTAATTATTGGGGGTTTTTTTTTTCTAATATATAGCGAACACAGACAACGCGTGATGAATATTACGGAAAATTTATATTCTTTTAATTATAAAATAAATACAAATTAAAACGCGTAATATATACTTGACGAGCTTATACCGGTCGACCAAACCGATTGGCATAATATATTTAAATAATTATTTAATGATTTTGAAGACCTTCCGTCCTTCGTCCAAACGCTATTCTGTTTCGTTTGAGTGGCGTAAGAAAAATGAGAATCTATAGAGAATTTTATATATAATTATAGGTAAAATATTCTAATAATGAATCTGCAATAATGCAACAAATACATTGACGGAAAATCGAACATAATATATATATATATATATATGTATGTATACACACATAAACCAATGAAAAAACCGGAAATGAATGATATTTTTAAAAACGATATCCTACGTAAAAATCCGGTTACGAGAAGTTTAAATTTAACAATCGACACAATATATACATTTCTATTTTTACATGTATACAATTCGCTAAATGGAATAAACCGCCACGGAAAAGAATTTTAGGGAAGACGTGTAGGTATATGCGATTTAATATATGATATTATTTTCTACACACATTTACATATTCAAAACGTGATAAAAGATTTTGTCGGGCATTTACGACACTACATACTGTCCGCTGTATCAGCGAGATTTGACGGTTTCCTATGCATTTATACATACATTTATTTCAAAGGTTAATGTATACGAAATCGATTAGACGAAATTAATCGCGATATGCACATTTTTTCAGAAAATTCTAGTTTTTATTTTATCTTTTATACGGTTTGTATATTATTATCGTAGCTGTATTTAAACCGATTTGGGTACGTATACGAATCACGTCATTTAACCGTTTCCCCCGCGGAAAGTGTAAAAAAGAAAAAGGAAAATGTTTCGCACGATATTATAATAATATTGTTGTACGCCAGTATGAAAATACGTATTTATTGTATATTAAGGGACCGGGACTTACCGTTCGAGCACACGGACGAATTGTCGCCCGGAAGCCCGCTGTCGGTGCCGCTTTCGTGATCGTCGCTCAGATCGGAGTCGGCGGCGTGATGGTGATGATGGTGTCCCATGCCGCCCGCGGGCCCGGCTCCGTTGCTGCCGGAAGACGCGCGGCCGTGTAGCGACAGGTCGCGCGGGCCGTCCGTGGACGAGGCCGGCGACACGGGCGAGCCCGCGCCGCCGCTGCCGCCGTTATTACGCCCGTTGTCGGACAGTATGTCCGTGATCATGAAACGGGACCTGCCGAGATGATGCAGGGGCATGGTGCCGGCTGCGGACGCGGCCGTCAGCTCGTGCACAGTCATAGCAGTCTTCGTCCTGTTATCGTCGTCTCCTCCGCCGGCGGCCACTGCAGCTGCTAGCCCGGCCGGCCACTGCTGCAGCAAGGTCGCGCTTCGACCGGACACCGTACCGATGAGCGTCGCCGTCGTAACGGAATATGGTACTCACAATCGTTATTATGTGCGGCGGGATCTGTCGGTATGCGTATTTCTGTTGTCCTGCGCGGCCGGTCGCTGCGGTCGTTTTCAGGATTTTCAAGGATCCGTGTGCCGTTCGAATAACGCGGGGTTTTCGAGTTTTCGGACGGCGAGTCGCACAAATCAGAAAAAAAAAATAATAATAATAATAATAATAAAACGCTCGCAACGGTCGCGGATCAAAACGGACGAAACGCACGACGAAAAACGGCAAACTTGTAACGGGAGAAGAAAAAAAAAACCGCCGAACAGAAAAAAATAAAACCGGTAAATAATATACGGACAATATTGTAGCCGAACACTATAATGCAATACTACAAATGCGATATAATATTATCGTAACGATCACGGCGGCAATAATGTGCACCGGTATTATAACAATATTATATTGTGCTGCAGTTTGTACAACGACAACGATGTTATTACTACTATTAAAAACTGTAGAGCAGTGAACGGCGAACGCGAGAGGTGATCCGTACGCGCCGGTGTGCAGTCGATGGTTAACTAAACGATTGGTTAAGCGACTGTTAACGGCGGCGGTGGCGGCGTCGCGCGTCCGGCGGAGGTGGTGGCGACCGCCCACCGGTAGGAGGCGCCCTCCAACCGGAGACGACGTCCGCGGGCCCGCCGCCGGCGAACGCACACACGGGCCCGTACACACGCACACTCACGCGCTCGTTTTGCGCGCACGCACGTATAATATAACCGGATTATCACTCCTCGTCGGCGCGCCACGTCTCCTCCTCCTCCACCACCGCCACTTCATCCACCCCCTCTCCGGCCCCTCCTACACCGCCGCCGCAGCCGCCTCGTCGTCGGATCGCGCCGCCGACGGCACAGCGTCCTCCGTCCGACCGCGTCATGTCGCCGCCGTAGTCCTGGCGCGGTTTTCCTGACCCGTCCCCCGTCGCCGTGTCGTCGGCTCGCGACGGTGCGGCACGGCCGCTCCTCAGAGTTCGTTTTTTCTCCGCGACGGCGTCCCGCTCGACTGGTATCGCTCACCGGCCGGCTCATCTGTCCCGAGCAAAAACATTATAATACTTTACACACTCGATTGAGTGTCATATAACGGTGGGGGGGGATTAGGTTAATGGACCGCGAGTTTTTCAAATAACGTTTTCTTTTTTCGTCGTAACGCGCTCTTCATAAGAAAACGACAATAATAATATTATTTCGTTGCTGAGATTATAATAATATGAACACTAGTGTAAAAATAAACCAGTACGGGCAACTTCGCACGTGGATGCAGTCACTGTTGTAGGTGGAAAGTTTGGAAAAATAGAGAAAGGAATTTAATGCATATCTGTAAGCAACGATAAACCATTGTTAACGAAAAAACGATTCTGAGCCGAATTCGGTTAATAGTGATGCTTTGTTAACAATATATGTCATATTAAAGCAGTTTGATGTACGTTTTAATGACAATGATGATTGTTTAAAAAAGATTAAAATAATAAAAACTTAATAATAATAACGAAAAATAAATAAAAACGATTGCCAATAACAACCTTTTTTTTAATATTTCAATATTTTTTAACCTAAAGAACCAGGTTTTCCTCATTATCTCAAATATTAATGAGAATTTCAAAAGATGACCTCTCTAGCACCTAGTAGCACCCAGAGAACATTTCCTTTCAGAAAAGGTGCTAATATTTACTTGATAATCGGAGTATGCCTTCTGATAGAAAAAGTGTTCACACAAAAAAAATGTTTAAAAATAAACATCATTGTAAAACCAATACATTTCTCGTTCTACTCAGAATCTAAATACCAAATAACAAAAAAATAATTTAAACAATGTTCAAAAACAAATAAAATGTTCGTCGTTTGTTTTAACATTTTTTTTATTGTTTCATCCGTTTCGTCAAGGTGACCCACTAATCAAAAAATAATAACTAGTTTTCGTACTAAAAATACCAACAACCCCGTATCACTCCTCTTTTAGTGGTTGAATACGTTGTTGCCACCGCAATTAAGAACACGCGAAACTAAAAAAATTATACATTATTATTGTATCGCTTTAATAAATTAAAATATCGAAAAAAACCAAAGTACCCAAACACAGACAACTACGCGTTATTCTTATGTTTATGATTGGCAATATTTAATATAGCATTATTATTAGCTTTAATATATTAAAATTAATATTATATACTGAACAAAAATTGTACATCATTCAAAAATTTTTCCGATTCGTGAAATGAGAAATTGTTGTTGACCATTCCATTAAAATATTCAAGTGATGAATTGCCTAATTCGCATGATATAGAATGGGCAAAACATTATGGGGCTAAAATAAATTACGCGTTTCACGAGTTGAGAAAAACTGCATGTATATAATATACAAATATTTTCTACAGTATTTGTACAGCCGTTAAATGATATTTATAATGATATTAATTAATCATTTTAAATTAGTTATTATATATTATTGACCGTTCTATGATATTGACAACGGACTTGGCAAATCTACGGTGTGAGCGAAAAATTGATAAAGGAAAATCAAAATTATGTGTCTAAATGTAATTATTGTATTATACTTGGCGCAGAATATAAATTGTTAATGTATAATACAATATTCAGATATATAGCTGTCCCGCATAGTTTTGTCGGCGCACTGCGGTATCGTGAATGGAAATATGAAACAAAAATAATTAAAAAAATAGAATCCCGTGTCTCTCCGAGTCCCTCATCGCTTTAATATCGTAACTCGTCGTAATAAATCCCGCTATAATTCAATGTCTTAAATAATATTATCGTCATAAAACAGTGGCGTCATTTTCGAGACGTGAAAAACAATAAAGATTTTATATGTAAATGCATCCCACAAATTTCATTTAACACATTAAAAATATTTAGACGCCGATGATGGTTTCGTATCGTTTTCAGAATAACACAATAATTTTGTAATACATTCCAAAAAAATGTTTTTTTGCTGTTTTACACTGCACAATAATTTAGTGATAAATACATAGGTATAGATATCGCGTGAAACTGAATTTTAATAGATTTTATTATAGATTAGAACACCGATTTCGTTTTATTGCCCATTTTTTTTTCTTTTTCAAATTTGATCAAATCAGTATTTGATCAGTACCAGAAGGCATAAATACGACACAAATAATACAATATAATATGACGCGTTGGTAATATATTATTATTTAATTATAATATATACCCGAGTATATGTTATAATAATTGAAAAATAGAATTTTATATGGAAACGTATTCGCATTTCGTCTTTTATGTGGTACGCGCGATCAAAGCGAGCGGCCGTATACTATTGCATTTTCAATATTCGTTTTGCGTCTCGTGAAAAAAATATGAAACGGCGCCCCTGTCACATAATATATTTAATAATATGTTTATCAACTAACAGCAATGAACATTATTGTAATTGCAACAACGAATGAAACGGCGGCGAACGGACGTCGCGTGGGTAAACTATTAATATTAATAATACTGAACAGCGCGATAACACAAACAATACTATATATCATTATAAAAATATGTTTTCAACCACTGTACACGCGCAAAGCTGCAACACATAGTATCGATCACAAATGTTTGTTACAATATGTATTACAATCACTGATAGGTAACCCGCATAAAAATGAAACAATAATTATTCTTTATTTTCGTTTTAAAAATATCGAAAATCACGTGTCGTTAATCCCAAGGGTTTAAATTTTTTTTTTTTTTAATTCCTCAGGGTTCAAGCTATATCTCCATTCCAATGTTCATCGAAATCGGATCGGCCATTTAGCCGTGAAAATGTAACAGACAGCGGTACTTTTGTATTTATATAATATACTGGCTGTACCGCACGGTTTTGTTCGCGTTAGTATGGAATGCCAAAAAAAAAAAGCGTATTTTCCCGTGATTACTCGTTTCCATTTCCGTCTTTATCACTGCGGTTATCACCTTTATTGTCTGTCCTGCACACTATTGAACAGTCCACGCGGAAGATACTGCAGAGATTTGTCGTCATCAAACACACTCAATTTCGCATTTTATTTAGAATAGGTTATATCTTATTATAGGTATCATATTATTTGTAACGAATGACGGTAACCCTATTAAAAAACAAAAAGGAACACTCGATTTTTGCGAGCCGCAATGAAATTCACGTGTGAGCCATTCTGTATAGTAATATTTACCCCTATATCTCCATGTGAGTAGAAAAACGAAACTATAAATCCTCGGTTCAGCGTTTTTTAGATCACGAACGAACGAAGAAATATTCGTTTTTTTAGAGTATAGATTAGTAAGGAAAATAATAATGATATATATTTATATATAAAAGGTTTTGTCTAAAAGCACTATGAGCTGTTGTATTGTAATTGCGTATACAGCTATAATAATGTATACATCGTGTGTATAATATAATGCGTGTATATAGTGACTAATACAGCTAAGTGCCTACATACGCATAATAACTGCAGTTTTGTAAATATAAACTATTCTGTGTAGGTATACTGCAATTAGTTATTCGCACATAAGAATCAAGATTAATTAGGGGCCAAACTTTATGTGTCTTAATAATTATCACAGTGGATATTGCTATTAAATATATGTATTATACCTATAGCTACTAACAGCTAGAGTAAAACAAACAGATATATTATATGTGACTTACAAAATCAAACAAAAGAAAACAGCTAGGTAAATTAACTTCCACATCGTTTGCGAAATGCGTACAATGGAGGGCGTAATGTATTCAAAATCGGCGGAACTAAATTATAAAGTGCTTTTTAACGAATATATAATTATTATTGTACCTAATGTATAATAAACTATATATTGCTGCAACCTGTGTGTATAATACTTTGAGGCTATACAATTACACCGGGAATTAAATTCAACAAGATACGAAATTCCAAGAGATAATAGATTAATAATTTAATAATACAATTTTGTTTACGATGTCTCCCCACCCAAACCAAATTCCTGCACACGCCACTATTTAGGAGGACCGAAGGGAACAGAGATCAACTGCCGTTTTGTTATAAGTCGAAACTTATAGACAAATAATAATAGATATCATGTCGACTCAACGGTTGCACGCATTAAGGAAATATATTTTAAGTACAAACACCGTTAACTTCGGGACCTTGCAGCAATTAAATTTGACTAAATATTTATCGGCTAATATACGGACGTGTTATTTGATAAATTCAACTGCAGTTATTTATTCTAAAACCGGACGCAGAAGAGCATATAATATAATTATTATGTACTACATAAAATAATAACTCAAGAGTCTGCCATTAGCTGTTATTACGATGTATTCCTGACAACATGTGGCTTCAATTATAATATTAAATTTAAAAAGTATGTTTTATTTTTGTAATTTCTGTTTTTTTTTTTTTTTTATCTCAAAGATACTTATAATAATAAGATAATTATTGAGCATAAAATATGTGGAAATTGTGCAACCAACATAAATTCGTGTATCAATACTGGATTGATAAATTACGAATCAATATTTTA